ATTATGGACTATACTGGACTCTTTTAGAATATTTTGCTGAGTTTACACACCTATAATTTTTAAATGATGGAACTTAACAAAAAAAGGGAATACAGATGAATGTCCGTTTTGTATCTGTGTATTCAAAATGGTTAGGATAGATACATAGTTACATTCCCTTAATGAATAGAGGGATTTGTTCTAATGGTGTTCGTAAATAAGATATCAAGTCAGCATCTTGTACAGCAATTAACCACTAGGAAGAATGTTTGCAATGTATTATTGAAACTGTCCTACTAATTTGGTTTGAACCTGTCTCATTGCTATTTGTTTCTCAATAAAATTATGGAAAAAAGTGATATAAAATCCAATTTTTTTAAATAAAAAAATAAATTGCTGGAAAAAATTAAAAAATAAAATATGCACTCTATAAAATGTCTGCAGAACCGGGCACGTTTTATTAGCTCGTTTTGGTAGCACCTAATGACTACATTCATGTGAAGTTGGCACCTGAACATAACCCACCGTAATTTACAACCTCCCCTCGAGTCTGGTCCTCTTCTAGTTATTTGCCCCAATAGAATGTAATGATGATCTAGAATTCAACAAAGCAGTCACATTTTAAGCTCCGCTTTCATCCCTTTCTTTTACGTTTCTGTAAGCTTTTTGTTTTGTTTTGGTCTCACTTTGTGCCCTTGATCCTTCTGCTTCAGCACCATCATATACCCGGCCATTCCCGTAGATCTTAACAGTCCTCGAAACTGACAATCATATGCAAAATAAGCACATATAAGGCTGGGCATGTGTTTCTGAAACAAGCAAGGACTTGGCTCAAGGGGACAGCAAAAGGCTGTCTTGCCTAAGTGGGCATGGTGGCTCACGCCTTTGATCCAAGCACTGGGGAGGCTGGGACAGGACGATCACTGCAAGTTCAAGACAAGCCTGGGCTACAAAGAGAGCTCAAGGCCAGACTGAGCAGTATGGCCAGACTCTAACTAAAAAGAAAAAAAAAAAAAGATTTAAAAAAAAAAGCAGCTTTGCCTGAAGTCTTTCATATTGTCATCTAATGCTGCCCTCTAGTAGCTCAAAAGAGAAACAGCACTCACCCAACTGGTTTCAGGATCCTAAGTTTTAGCAGCATTAACAGGACTTGCTGTGGCCAAAGCTAAGGGAAAAGGAGCACAGGTCACTCTCCAGTCACAGTTCAGCTCAGTGCATCAGTGAACCCAACCAGTAGGTACAGCCCTTGAAGGACCTGAAGGCTGAGATCCTCTCCACCTTCGTCAAATACATGCAGCAGGTACCTGTTACCTTGGAGTTGAAACATTTTTGTCACTGGAAAAACTTTCTCCAGCTACTTTTCCAGGTTGAAAGCTCAGACCTGTTTAATACAGCCCCCACTCCTTTTATACTTTATGATACATGACACAATGCCCATTTTTCCTAAGGACAGAAACTCATTTATAGCAATTTTTTTTCATGTATTTAGTACAGGGTCTACAGTGTCTCACTACACAGATCAGACTCAGTGATCCTCCTGTTTTTTAGCCTCCCACGTGCTAGGATTATAGGTGTGCACCACCATGCCCAGTCCTCATCTCAGCACACCCTGGGGCACAGCACGCTGGGGATAGAACCCCAGGCCCTGTGCCTGCCTAAGCAAGCGCTTTAGTTCGCTGAGCTATCTGGCCTGCCAGCAAATT